GCTCACACCTGGAAGAGGAGCACGTGCATCGGAACTGCAGGAGGAAGAGGGTTTGGAAAAGTCCCAGGAGTGACTGTCATAAATAATTCCCACTCAATCCTTGCCGTCGAGAACCACAAATGTAGTAGAAGACAGAGAGGGGTTTAACAATTTTATATATAATTAAATATAATTTAAATAATTATTTATTTAATTTTTGTTGATCATTTTATTATTTAATAAACTGATTAAATATAATTTAATTTTTATATTAAACAATTGTGTTTATCAATTGGCTCAGAAAATCCCTTGAAAATAGGATAAAGCTGTTCTCATGGGTGTGTTCAAGTTGTCTCCAGCACACCCCGATTTAAACCCAGGACCTCTGACACCAGATGTAACTCCCACTCAACAGTGAAAGGTACTGGTCTCCACAGCTAGTAAGTAGTGGGGCTGAGATTTAAAGCTAGTCTGGCCCCAAAGCCAAGTTCTTAACCATTATCATTTGGATAATGATTTCCACTGGTGAGCCTGATGCGAGAAGAGGAGAAGCTAGGAAGCTGACCCAGAATGCCCATGGGCTTTACTTCCCTGACTCCAGCCCACTGGGGTGGGTGGCGGGGGCGGTGGGGGCGGGTAGGGGAGGCGGTATGAGTCTGTCGTTAAACCTCGGGCACAGTCAGTCATTGGTCCCTCACTGCAGAGGGGCAGACCGGTCCCGGGTCACACACAGAGCATGGGGCTATGCTCAGACTAGAGCCCGGGTCTTCTCAGTCACCCCAGACCAAGGCATACCCTCAGCCCTGGTGACCTGTGCCCAGTGGGGACCACCGACAAGAGCCACCTGCAGACAGGTGTGAGCTGGGAGGAAGTCCCGCAGACAGAAAGGTGGAGGCTGCTGCAGCCCAGCCTGGGCCAGCCCCTCTTGGGGGACTGTAGTTTTAGAGAGGAGGGCATCAGTGAATCAGACAGGAGCCCTGCTCGCAGCTGCACTGTCTACCGCAGTCGCTGCCTGCCACATTTGACAATTTATAGTTAAATTCATTAAAATTAAGTACAATGGAAAATTCAGTTTCTTAGTCACAATAGCCACATTTCAAGCGCTCAATAGCCACCTTTGGTTAAAGGTGATTGTGTCAGATAAGGCAGATACAGAACATTTTCATCAATGCAGAAAAATCTGCTGACAGAGCTGGCCCTAGAGGAAAGTCAGATAAAATGAAAAACGATTCCGCCAGCTGGAATGGCCCCAGTTACCCAGGAATGATTCTTGGAGGAGGAAGGCCCTCGAGGTTCTAACTCACGGGAGCCCTGCCCAGCCCCAGGCCCTCCCTCTTCTCCCTTCCAGCCCCAGCCCCAGGTCTGAGGACGCTCTGGTTTCTTTCTGGCTGTCTGTGTGTGTGGCACTCCTCCACCACCCAGGGCAGAGAATGGGGCCTGTGGGGACCTGCAGAGTTGCCCAGAGCCAGCAGACGTGGGAGCAGCTGAACCTCCTCAGGCCGCCAGGGCCGCTGCCCATTTGCCCTCATCCCTAAGGTTCAGAAAAGGAGGGCTCCGGGGAGCCGCTGGAGCTGGAAGTGGCTCTTGATGGCTTTCGGAAGCCACTGGCCTTCGTCACAGTGATGGCGCTGGCAGGGGCGGGCGCTGTGTGCTTGTCTCTCGGCATATTTGATGCGCTTCGAGTCTTTCATGCCGGAGGATGTCCTCTGCCAAGGGCCACATGTGCTGTTTACTCTTTTCCTTTTATTCCTTTTTTATTCATCTCATTAAATTGCTTATGTACAGGGCAAAAGGAGAGCCCAGCAGACAAGAAATGCTATGCAGTTTACAGGGGAAGAGAAGTGGGGGTGGGAGCTCATTTCTGGTGGGGCGGGTGCAACTGAAAGCAAAGCACTTGCTCATCCACCCACACTTCAAGGCCTCAGCTGCTCACACACTAAGACCTCTTAGAATCTTTATAGAACGCATATCTACTTCTTGTAGTTGAACATAAAATCCTTATGTGATCTTAATGGATTCCATATAGAAGCTTCATAGAATCCTTTTAGATGCCACATAAAATCTTTACAGAATTCACCAGATTGCACATAGAAGCCTATATCTCCACTGCCATACACATCACACACACACACACACACACACACACACACACACACACACACACACACCATACATGGCACTGCACTGGAAATAGCAAATCACCTTGAACCCCATCTCCTTTCTTCATAGAATGGCCACTTGGCAGATCTATTCTGGAGATGGAGGGACTGGCAACATTGCCCAGAGTGAGGTCACAATGCCACCTTTTGTGGTCTAATCTAGGCACACCTCTGTGAAGGCCCCTGGGTCTGCAAATCAGGTCCCTCAGGAAGAGGAGAATAATTTGCAAAAGGATCCCAGCGCTCTGAGAAGAAAAAAGAAGCCAACCCCAGTATGAAAATTCGTCATGGTGTCCTGGGTGCCTGACCTGCTGGGATGTAAGCCCTGTGACGCAGGGGCATTTGTTGGTGGTATTAACGTGTCCCAGCACCTACTCCTGTGCCCGACACACATGGTAGATCCTCAGTAAGTAAATGAATGAAGGTGTGCTAGCTGGAAGGGACCTGCATGGCTCTAAAGAGTACCCACCAGAGAACAGGGCAGGCAGCAGGCCACCACGAGGCTGCACCGGGTACTGGGCATTGCTGTGGGCTGGGTAGAGACCCAGACCAACGAGACCTCTCTGCTGAGTGGATGGATGGCAGCCTGGCTAATGTGGGGATAAAGGGGTTCTGACAGCACCAGGGTGAGGTCTGACTGGCAGGCATCCTGGTGGATGATGACAAGGAACTACACAGGCCAGTCCACAGTGGGCCCTGGGCGTGCAGGCTGAGACAGCTCTGAGGATTAGATCCTTGCAGAAAAAGTTTTCTAGTTATTTGTTAGCTTCACGTCAGGTAAGAATGGCTTTCTTTCATTCTTCAGAGTTGTACTCTGCCAAAAGTCCCCAAATTCAACCTTCAAGAGCTTTGTAGGGACTCAGAGACGGGAGTCACCCAGCAAACCTGACTTAGAGCTCAGTTTGTAAAGAGGAAAGAAATTCTGCCTCTTCCAGGCACAGAAGGCAGTTGGTCTTTAGCAGGAGCCCTGGGATCCGAGAAGATCCCTGGGGAAGCAGCGGAGCTGACACTCATCTAACAGGTGGAGCTCTGTGTGTCTGTGTGTCTGTCTGTGTGTCCGTCTGTCTGTATGTCGCTCAGGGATGATGGCACCCACACTCCCAACAGCTCTCTCTGCACACCGTGGTGGAGCCCCAGCTCTGTGCCCTGCCCTGGGTATGGCTGAGAATAAACAGGAGCCCTCAGCATTTAGGAGTTAGTAGTTTTAGTATCTTAAGAGCAAAGTACGCTCCGGGTACATGTTTGAAAAAAGAAAAGAGAGAAGGAAGAGACCCCCTCCCCCTAACAAAAATCAGGTCAGGTTGAGACACCTCTAGCCCAGAACTGTCTTCACAGCAAACCCGAATATCCTACTGCTGCCGGCATTCAAATTCAGGTACCTTAGAGGGACAGCTAAAATCTAAATGAACAAAATACCATGTCCAGGCTGCCTGCCAGTGCCTCCAGCATGCACAGTGCCATGCCCATGCAGCAGCATCTCTGACAGCAGGGAGTGGTGGCAGTCACCATATTCCTTGGGTGATGCAGTCACCAGCTGGAACCGCTCAGCAGCAGGAGGATGTCGAAGGAGAAGGCAGGGGCCAGTGGGAGCCACTCGAGCCTTGGGCTGAGTCAAGACTGTGTGTTTAAGTTCTGGGAGCCTTTGGAGGCTTTGAGCAGAGGAATGACTTTTCAGACACGTGCATTAGGAAGGGTTATATTTAGGGAAAACAAATGTTCCCCATGCCTGGCTCGGTCCTGGTTTGCCTGGACAGTTCCGATTATGCTGCTTCTCCTAGTAAGTTGATTGCCTGTTACACTCTCAAGAGTATCCTGGTTGATATTAAAGAATTATTTTTAATTTTTAAAGTATAATAATATTATAGTTACATTTTTTAAAAATAAAGAATTCTGAGCTGGGCAAGAAGGCTTATGCCTGTCATCCCAGCACTTTGGGAGGCCAACGTGGGCAGATCACATGAGGCCAGGAGTTCAAGACCAGCCTGGCCAACATGGCAAAACCCTGTCTCTACTAAAAAATACTAAAAATTAACTAGGCAAGGTGGCACATGCCTGTAATCCCAGCTACCTGGGAGGCTGAGACAGGAATCTGGAAGGCAGAAGTTGCATTGAGCCTAATACAGGCCACCACACTCCAGCCTGGGGGACAGAGCAAGACTGTCTGAAAACAACAACAACAAAAAAAAGAGTCCTGCTGGGCATGATAGCACTTGCCTGTAGTCTCAGCTACCCTGGAGGCTGAGGTAGGAGGATGACTTGACCCCAGGAATTCTGGGCTGTAGTGCATTATGCCAGTTGGGTGTACACACTAAGTTCGGCATCAGTATGGTGACCTCTTGGGAGCAGGGGACCACCAGGTTGCCTAAGCGGGTGAACCGGCCCAGGTTGGAAATAGAGCAGGTCGGAACTCCTGTGCTGATCAGTAGTGGGATTGTACCTGCTCTGGGTATGCTGCCTAGGCTGGATCCTGCTACTCTGACTGTGTTGCCCAGTCTGGAGTGCCGTGGGATTCAGGCTTTGCTCCATTCAGTAGAGCCACTGTACTCCAGCCTGGGCAACATAGTGAGACCTCATCTTAAAAAAAAAAAGGGTGGGGGGAGTTCTTATCTTTTAAAGATGATAGAGAGAGAGAGAGATAGATAGATAGATAGATAGATAGATAGATAGACAGACAGATAGATAGACCTAGTGTTCATTCTGGCAGCACATATACTAAAATTAGATTGATACAGAGATTAGCATGGCCCCTGCACAAAGGATCACATGCAAATTTGTGAAGCATCAATTTTTTTGCGTTCGTGTGTGTGTGTGTGTGTGTGTGTGTGTGTGTGTGTGTTTGAGGCTTTACTTGGATCGGGTAAGCCCACCGCCTGGCCTTCAAGGCACTACTTGCCCCAGACAGCCATCTTCATGAACACAGGTCTTAGGAGGAAGCAGCTGGACTTCATGTAGGCAAAGATCTTCTCCAAGCCTCGAATCGGGAAACGAAGTCCTTCAGGTTTGGGAAGGCATCCAAGCAGGTGGGCTCAAATACTTGGTTTCCCTCAAGGACATCATAAGTGATGAAATCCACAAAGGTGATCTTGCCCCCAGGAAACCATGGCTGCTTCCCCAGAAACTGTGAGTAGAGCTTCAGCATTTCAGGAAGTCCCTCCAGGTATTCTGGCTTCAGCCTCTGGAAATGTGGATCGTAGCAGAGTCTGGCCAGCTGCATGTGGCTGCCCATAAGCTGATTCTCCAAAATGTCTTCCCAAATCTTCTCCTTTTCTGTCTCTCCACACAGGTTGTGCTTGCAAGCAATGTAGCACAGGATGGTGTTGCTCTGGGTGATCTTGGGAGCCCCATCAATCAAGTAGGGTAAATTGGGAAAGTCCAGGCCCAGCTTGAATTTTTCATTCGGCCACTGGCTTCTGTCATAGTCAGGAGTGTCCCCCATCGTGTACATCTTTTCCTTGTAGCTTGAGTCTGTGTATTCCAGGAGCAGGCCGATGGCGTGGGCCAGCCCGCAGATGTCCCAGTACCCCAGTATCATAGGCATGGTGCTGGTTGCTGTGGAGTCTGCCAACGGGCAGCATTCCGTATTTTATGATAAATGTTTGAGAGATGAATATGCCAATTTCCCTGATTTGATCACAACACATTATATGCCCCTCAATATCACTCTGTACCCCATAAATATGTACAATTATTATGTGCCAACTAAAAAGTCTAAAAATACAGCTATACACTTAGATATTTAAGATGAATATTGTCTAGAATTTGCTTCAAACCAATCTAGCAAGGGGAGTGATGGCAGGAAGTGAGTAGAAGTGGAAATGAAAAAAAATAGCCCGAGTTGCCAATTATGGAGGTTTAGTGGTAGATACATGGGGCGGTGGTGAGTCAATGAAACTAGTCTCTCTATTTTTATATTTAGTTAACATTTCTGGATATGTGAAGTGTCCCAGAAAAGAAGAAAGTGTTCCAGAGTGGACAATAAATATGGTCACTCTAGTTCAATGGTTCTCAACCCGGAGAGATTTTGCCCCCAGGGGACAGTTGGCAAGGTATGGTGGCCTTTTTGGTCATCACAAGTTGGCGGCGGAGTCGGGGTTTGCTGCTATTATCTACTGTATAAAGCCAAGTATTGGCTTTATTGGCTTTCATTGCTAAAGGCTGCAATGCTCAGATTGCTCCCCACAACAAAGAATTCTCTGGCTCAAAATGTCAATAGCACCAAGGGTTATGCCCTGGGTTAGTGTAATGTCTGTGACTTTAAAGCTCCACCGTATGAAGAGAAGAGATAGTGTGTTTGTGTGTGAGCTCATTGCAATGTATGCTCTAGGGATGATGAGTTAACACTTAAAGTAAACTCACACCCTAGAAGTGGCTAGCAAGGGCTTCAAATATAGTTATTTAAATCTGCTCCCCAAAATTCATTAACTAGCATAAACAATGTCCAGATAATTTGTTGTTGGTAAGGTGAGTGATATTCAAGACCTATATTTGGCTGGAAAGATGGTTTAAGCACCTATGTTTTTGCTTAAATAAGGCAGAAGAATGTAGCAAACCTGGGTGTCTGACACCCAGGGACTGGTAGCTCTGGGTCTATTCTCATTTGATTCTGAGTCCCCTCTTGGCCTCGACAACTCTGGTGGAAGGCTCTGTCTCCTGGCCCAACCAGAAGCTCGGCTGGTCCTGCTGACAGAACTTTGCTGTATCTTTGAGCTCCCGGACTTCCCACGTGAGTGCTTATCAGCATGCCTAGGGATAGAGAAGGGGGACGCCCCAAGTTTCATGGAGGAGGCCAAATGACTATTTTTGTGACTATTTGCTGATAAAACTATGTCTTTGTGGCAGAATATGGTCTGAAATTTGCTTCCATTATAACATATCTACTTGTGGCAAGGGTATGGGTCCAAAGACTCTTTCCTACCTTATCTTTTGGGATTAGGAGACACTAATGTTTACCCTAAGAACCTGATCATCATTGAATGGCCAAGTTGGCTGAGATCAGGAAGATGATAATGGTTCTATGTGTGTAGGGTACAAATTGAAGAAGAGATTAGAACCTTCCCTTCCTCCATAATCTGTGTATCTTTCTCATGTCTTCCAGGAACACCGCATACCTCCCTGACACCACCACCATGTGTCATTGAACAGCTAGACTGGCTGAGATAGAGAAGATAATACTGGAGGTGTGTGTAGAGGATAGAATAGAGAGATTACAACTTTTTCACCTTCTTTAGCATTTCTCGTATCTTCCAAACACCTGTCTGTGCACCAACGCCATGTATCACACACACTTTTCCTGCCCCACCAGGGTCTCACCTATGTCCCCCAACACCTATATCTGTGGCTTCAACCATGGCCAGGGAGTGTCTCCTTGTGCCCCAGGCCTCTCAGGTTAGTCAGCAAACAGGTAGGAGAGTTCCTGATTTGGTCTGGCCTCAGGGGCTGGAATGCATCATGGTAGCCACGATTGGCTTCAGCTGCCTTTAGTCTACACCCAGGCATGTCTTCCACCTCCAGCAGGAGCCAGGCGGGAGCGGGCTGCCTCTGCATCCTAGAAAGCCAGGGTCCTCCCTGGTCACAGCTGTGGCCATGCATGTAGTGACAGGACTGTCCTTGCAAGGTGAGAGTGGCTGGGAGGACCACACAAGAGGCCTCATTTTTAGTCACCAACAGCTCTGAGAAGTGAGCTTCTCAGAGGATATTCTGAGAGCCTGTTTGCATGAGAAGGCAGGAGGCACTGAGCCTCAGAGTGAGGGCAGGTGTGGGTGGGAATCCCCCAGAAAGAAGGCTGGCATGCCCTCAAGTCAGGGAGAGGTTCCCAGGGCTGTCATGAGACTGCCATTGCCAATTTCACTGTTCTGAGAAGGAACATTGCTGCCCTAGCCAGCCCCCACTACACATTCATGCACACACAGATACAGAGAAACACACACACTCGAACACACACACACATGCGCACGCACACACACACATACACACACACAGGTCCCTGAACGGCATTCCTTGGCTTCAAGGTCCTTTCTTTCACAAGGTCTCAGATTGCACATCTGACATGGATTTTTTTTCTAGCTGCCTGTCCCATGGTGTCCAGGCTCCCATGGGGCCCTACAAGTGCCCCACAGGCCCTGGGGCAAGCTGCCTGATGCCCGGAACTCTCCCTCAAGGCACAGCTCTGAAGTAGACCCAAGAGGCCCTCCCCGAGGGCTGAGGCTCTTTCCAGGAGACGAGTGCTTCTCCGCCAGGATCCTTAACAGGAGTCTGGCACCTGTCTCTATGGCTGTCTCTACTCAGTCCCAGTTAGTAGCAGCACCGTGGGGAAGTCTGGGGTAGGAGGGAGGAGGGGATTCTAGGCCTCTGATCTCTGCAGCTCACCCCTACCCAAACCATGCCAAATATACACACACTGAAAAAAATAACAAAAATCAAACCCAGAGTGCTGCTTCAAGGCCCCTTTCCCACCAGCTGCCTCCTAGACCCTGCCTCTCTGGGGGTCCTGGAGCCACCTGGGTCTCAGGCATGGTGGTTCTGGGCTTTTGTCAGGCAGTGCACAGCTCATGCTGTCTCCTCATCCATCAGGGGTTCTCTGGGCCCAGGGACTGGGCTGGGCATTGTTGATCTCTGTCTTTCTCATGGCAAACTCAGCCCAGAGCCTCCTCGACGCCCCCTTACCCTCCACGCTCAGAGGATGTCAATGAGCATGGGCAGAATTTAATTGCCTGGCAGGTTCAGACCTGCATCTTTGATCTGTAAGCCTGGCAGGGCTGGGTGACGGGGAGAACACGGCATTTGGGTGCACATGGACCCTGGCTTGAAACCTGGCTGTGTCATTTCTACCTTGTGACCTTCAGCAGCTGCTTCACACATGACAGCCCTCCCCATTCCTCTCCTGAGCCCACGTGTTCTCATCTGAGAAATGGGGAAAGTCGTACCTCATTCACAAGAGAACATGTATGTGGGTATACAAAAAGCCCGGCCCATCCCCTGGGGGCCCCTCATCTTCCTTTTGGGGATGAGCTGGGCGCAGTGCTGAGTGTTTCAGTCTCGGTCCCGGGCACTGGGGTTTCTTTGTCATGAGCCTAGTAAGCACTTTACATACATCCTAATCCTCCCAACAGTCCTATGAGGACGACACCATCATCATCAACACCTTTGTACAGCCCAGGAAACTGAGGCACAGAGAGATTATGAAATTCAGCCGAGTTCACACAGCCGTAAGTGACAGGGCTGTGGCTTGACTCAAGGCGTTTGGTTTCTGCGGCCCGCCCGCATGGCTATGCCGCTAAACTGCTGGGAGTTTGCCCCAAGACAGGAAACCTATGAAGAGATGTTCTTTGAGTCCATCAAAAATATTTACTGAGTTCCTCCGAAGGAATTAGGAGAGGGGACTCAGCCTCACTGCAGGCTGCTCCCTGTGGGGTCCTGGGGAATGGCTCCGGCTCCGGCCCTGGGCCTGCTGGCTGGGCTCTGCTGAAACCTGGGAGGCGGCCCTGCCCTGTCACGTCTCCCTCCACAGCCCACTTGCCTGCCAGGGTGTTTGAACAATGATTAACCAGCAGCGGGCAGGCCAGTGCAGGCCGGGCTGGGCACGGCAGGTGAGCTCACCCCTTGCACAATGGTGGCCGCACCCACCGCCGTCACCCACCACCCGGCTCAGGGGCCAGCCCAGTGGGGCAGGACCAGGCGGGCTCCCAGAAGCAAGGGGCATGACGCTGGGGGGAAATAAGGGATAGCCTTGTCAGACGTGCAGATGTGACTACAATCACATGTGATGCCACCCCCAACCTCCAGCCCATGCTGACTCCAGCCCCTCTTGCCAGGCATCCATTGCTGGGCTGAGACCAGCCTCGAGGGAGATGTTCCTCAAACGGTGTCACCTGAGGCACGCTGCTCCAGCCACAGAGCATCCAACTCCAGACTGAACTGGAGGACGCAGGAGGATCTGCCCACCCCAGGCCCGGGACAGACGGAGCCACGCCTCGGGCCCCTCCTCCCCTTTCTCCATGAACCCTCTGAGCCTTGTGGAGTCCAATCTCTGGCCCTGGTTGCTCAGGGAAGCACAGGCATGTGCCCAAACCCACACCGGCCCCCAGCCAGTTCCCTGGGGGCGTCTGGGGTCTTGAGCGCCAGAGCCTGCATGGTGGTGGTGGCGAACTCGAAGTTCACCCAGAGCCCAATCTGCCTCCAGATCCGCCCACATTGCCACACCTGTACACCCCAGCCTCGCCCGGGGCTCCAGCCTCTTATTTGCTTGTTGAGTGGAGCACTAAAATCCTTTGTCCTAAATAAACTGTACGTTCATTTCAGGTCTGGCTTCACTGCCTCAGAAGCTAGGAAGACTGAAGAAGATTGGGACGTGCCTATGGGGTTCGAGGGGGCGGCACTATGAGTCGGGGAGGGGTGGGGAGGGTGAAAGGTAATTTTCTGTGGAGGCGGGAGGGGTGGAGTTGCCGCAGGGAGAGTAGTAGGCCTTTACCCCACTCCCACACCCCCTCCTCAGTGTTCCAGAGAGTCTGAACCCTGCTGGTCTGATGAGGGCTCCCAGATGATCTGAGGGCTCAGTCGGCCTTGCC